GGGGGGGGGGGGTATTGAAATATATTGCCCATCTCTCTTCATCAGTTCAGACTTTTGAATGAGTTGGCTGGAATATGAATTCAATAATACAAACACCGCAACAGGGCTAACTCCATGCATCCATGCTCAGACCAAGACACACACACCACTGCTTTCATTAGGGCATGTACAATGGTTGATAAGATAGTCTTATCTTAAATTTTGCATGTAATTTAGAGATGATTATTATGCTAAGAGATCATCTTTTGTCTTATCTTAAATAAGAGAAGACAAACCTTTTTTTTTTGATTTCTCTCTCATCCACCTTATCATTTATCCTACGTGACATTGTTAAGATAGAACTATTGTACATGCCCTCAGATATGCACACACTGTGGCCAATGACTTTGTGACACGTACGAGCCAAACATGCATGTTCACGCAGCTAATCCAAGGACTTCTTATTACACTAACAGATACATGTAATTGAAAGCAGGGACACACATTCAGCTACTACGACGTTCACATACGCGCTCGTGTACCGGCCACCTCAAGGTATCACGCCGCCTCCGCCTCCCCCTCCTCCACCTCCGCTACCAGCGCCGAAGCCGCCGCCGAAACCACCGAACGGCCCGGCGCCAGCCCCAAACCCGCCGTGCGGGCCAAAGCCGGCGATGCCCCCGCCGAGCGGGCCACCGTTGATGGCACCACCGAAGAGCCCGCCGTCACCACCAGTGCTCCCAGCAAAGGCAGTCTTGGCTTCATCGAAACCATCACCGTCTTGATTGTTTCGACCGGCCGCATTAACGACAATATCGCAGTCGTCGCCGGCAGGCATACCCCTGCCCGCCGCCACCACGGCGAGGCACAGTACGAGGGAGGCGATGCACCACCACTTGCTCATGGCTGGTTGGTCTCAGAGAGGTGTGTGAGCCGAGTAACGCGGTGGCAGGGGGGTTTAAAGGGAGGAGGAGGACGAGATGGACAGGTGCGAGCGCGTGACAGTAATTAAATGGAAGGTGGCAGCCGGCAAGCGGGTGGTTGTTGCCATGCATGGCGCAATAACTCGGAGATGAAGAAGTCGATCCATGAGAAGTTATTGCGATCTAACGCTGGTGATCTGGTACTGTAGCGCGCACTACTCGGAAATAAAGTACTGACACGATTTTTACTGAGTGTTAGCTTTCACAGCCAAAAGAGATTGTCACCAGAGATGACTCCGTGCTGGCTCCAGATCAGTTCGGTTGCATGCTTGTCATTTCTGACGTTTCTAATATGATTTCTTTTCATGAACTCCTGCTATATACACTGTCAATCAATGAACTTCTTGACTTGGCACTCTCCATCTGCCCCTCGAATCTATAATACCTAAATAGTTGATCCCTACTAAGCTAATTCTCTTCACATGCAGACCATCCACATTAGCATCCTAGCCCGGACGCGCCCGCGGGCACTGACCGGGCAACCCTCAAATGTTGCGCCGCACATCCACATACCACAAATTCAGATCCTCAAGTCTATGCAAGCCATGCACGTTGACCATGCGGTACAAACTGTCTGAATGCCAAAGTTCGAAACAAAGCAAAGCAAATCATAGTTCGACAAATCGGACATGGTAAAATGAAATCAATGTCTGAGCGTGACGGATGGCCTTGGATCACTGGCTGGGCGCCTGCTCCGAGCGGAACGCATCCTGCTTGTCCTGCTCTGCGTGCATCCGGGCAACCTCCTCCGCCTGCATCCGGGCTACCTGCTCCGCCTGCATCTGGGTCGCAGCCGCCCTCGCCGCCTCATATTTCCTGTGGTCGTTGATCTTCATCTTCTTGTCCGCAAGCCACTTCTGAACATGCTCATCATAGAGGGTCTCATTCGCCGACATGATCCTCGCATCTTCCACGTCCCGTGCGAGTTACAACCTCTCCTTCTCAACCTCTATGTCGCCAAATGTCTTGGCCTTCTCGAGCTCCCATTTGATCGCCGCTTATTGCTTCTCCAACTCGATCCTCTACCTCTCAATTTCCAGATTCTTCTCCGCCCTCTTCTGGTCTGACTCCATCCTTTCCTTTCTCGCATCCAACATGATCGCCGACGGACAAGGCGGACTGCGTCTCCATCGCGGCAGTCTGGGTCATGCTGGACGACATCTCTGACGGTGGATCGGGACCGGTTGTGAGGATTGGGAGCAAGGGTGGAGGATGGCGAGGATCCGAACTAGACTTTGTGCGAAACCTAGAATTCGATCTCTAGACATTCTCTAGGGGTCGGTACCGCACTAGCCAGCTGAACTGTATACACGGACGTGAAAATGAGTAGCACCAAGTCTAAAGAACAAACTGCAGTAGGTAAATAAGCATTACTCAATGTTTTGAAAAACACAAAAAAATATTAAATTCCAATTTCTTTTCGAAATGCGTACCATATTTTGAAAACACGAACAATCTTTGAAAATTTGGAACACCTTTTTGGAATTATGTAGATATATTGAAAAATGAGAACAAAAAATTAAATTCCAAACAATTACAACACATTTTTTCTAAACTCCGAACTTCCTTGAAAAATGAACAAATTAAAAAATTCCAAACAACTTTTGGAAACACAGTTTTTTTGAAACTCTCAACTTTTTTAGAAAACATGAATAAAATTTGAAATTCTGAACTTTCTTGAAAACACGAACAAATGTTGAAATTGCAAACTATTTTTGTAAACATGAGCAAAATTTTGAAACTCCAAACATTTTTTGAAAACATGGACAAAATTCGAAATTCAGATTTTTTTGGAAATTTTGATTTTTTTTGAATGTGTTATTTTGTGGATTTCATATATTTTGAAAAGGATCATTTTTTGAAATTATGAACAAAATTTGGAACTATGATTTTTAAAAAAATATATGTTTTTTCGTTTGAAAACAGAACATTTTAGATATTCTGACTAATATTTGAATTGTTTGACAAAACTTGAAAATAAAATCACACATTAAAATGAAAAAAGGAAAATAATAAACAAAAAAGAAAAAGAACAGAAAAGAAGAAAAGGAAGAGAAAAGACACAGAAAAACGTGAAAAACTAGTAGAAGAAAATAAACAGAAAAACCCTGTTTTGGTAACTATCTAGAAGGTTCCCAAAACCAGCCCAGATTCCCCGCTCCTGTTGTTGGCCTGTGCTTTGCGTCGACATTACCTCCGTCCTGGTTTATTGGTCCCTTTGTAATGGTGCTAAATTTTGACTAAAGATGTAATTGACAAAATGATAGTAGTGCATGTTGAAAAATTATATCGTTCGATTCGTATTTGAACATAGTTTTCAGTGATGTAATTTTTTGTTGATATGCATGATCATTTTGCTAATTATATCGCTAGATTCGTATTTAGCCAAAATTTGACATGCATGAACAGTAACCAGGACGGAGGTAGTACCTTTAGTTTAAGGTAGGAGGAGGACCCTCCATAGGATGACCATGGGCGTCTTTCTCCCTCATGGGCCGACCGTCACAAATTCTCGGTGGCACTACCGTGATCCACACCTCTGCTGTTGCATGTTGGGCCCTCCTTCCTTGTCTTCTCACCTCGCAATAACTCCATCGATTTATTTTCCAACGTTTCTGCCGCCCTATCGTCTCTCCAATTAACTTCCCCTATTGATTTTCCATTACTCTCGACAGATGATCTTCATCTTCGCTAAGATAAGGGAGCTGGCTCATGTGTGAGGTCATCTGCGTCATCGAGGGAAAGGTGCTCCCGGACGACACCATGGTGCACGCCTGCGGGAAGAGCGGCTACTACACATGCTCGGGCGACAACTCCAAGAGCAACGGCGACAGCGGCATGACCGCCGACGCGTACTACCTCATTTGCGACATCCCCGGCCACTGCGCCAATGCCACGAAGCTCGCCGTCACTATCACGATCGGGGCTCGACGGCGGGAGGCACCGTCCCTGCCGGCGCCGCCGGGGATCCCGCGGGCCGGCGATGGCCGCCGCCGCGGGGGTTCTGACCGTGCTCACACTGTTTTGATGAAGCCCGTCGACGACGCTAGCTTCTGGCCAGATCGATGGATTGGCGGCGACGGCGCTCCAGAACACGTCGCTATTCAAGCAGGGCCGCGATCTACGTGGGCTAACACGGTGTACCTGCAGATGAAGCTGTGCAGCTTCTAGCTCGTGAAGGGCCAGTGGGCCATGCCGTCAAGTACCGCATGATGACCATCTAATCCGTCGCGCACAACCTCAAGCTCAAGTTGCAGATTGGCTATTGACTATTCGTCTATTCCTATTTTCTCTAGCATATTCTGTCAATCGTGTTACTTAAGTAACTCCAGTCCCACAGTTTTGTTATCAGGATTGCACTGATTTTCCTGAAGACATGTGAAGAAATTAGCTTGCAGCAATCTCCTTTGTTGGTATGGCTTCCATAATCTTCTTCTTCGTTCATCACATCCTCTATTTGTGATTATTGATGTATTCTGGATGTATCTCTAGATAATCAAAATATCAGGTATTTGCAGGTTACTTTTTTTTGTTAAAGTTCTTCTCAATGATGGGCAATTCTAACCTGTTGGACATGGAATACATTTTCATTTTTCAAGCCAGTTGTGCATGAAATTGTTTTACTTTAGCTGAGAGACATCATGCCAAATTATTTATATTTCCTTTGTCTAATATATATCCAATTTTTTCAGCTACAATTTCTGCAGCAACGCGCGGGGTATCAAGTTAACAATAAGGTAGGCCCGACCTCTCTTCTCTAGACCAGTCTGTGTAAACAGATGTTATAGTTTGTACTCTAGTATCAAAAACGCTCTAATAGACGAAAGAAGTATTTCACGAGTATAGATCGTCTTGTGGTACCTGGCATCATCTTGAACTTCTATAATATATTATGCCTCGCAAACTATCATGTTTTTTTCCATGAAGAAAACATAGAATTAATTATGTGGTTTACTGTAATAAAGTCAGTGTGAGCTACGTGAGTATCCTTAGGGAACCTCTAACGACAACCTGCAAATTTTCTCCCACATCCATCCGCAAACATGGATGCAGGAGGACACCATCTAACCCTAGCCTCATACATCTGACTAACAATTTGCACCATTCTCACAAAAATTCGATCAAACCTGATGGAATTCATTCAAATTCGGATATAATTTACTTAAAAAGGTTGATATTTCAACCGTTTCACTAAAAAACTAGAAAAAAGCTAAACCCAATACCGCACGACCACCTTGTACGCGTGGCCACCCTACCCTGCCGCACCGCTGTCTCCATCTATATCATCGTCGTCATGGTCCCCTCAACGGCGGAGTAGCCGCTCCGCCTCCTGCTGCGCCGTACGGAGTGCCGCCGCGGCCACTGCCGACGTGGCCTTCGAAGCCCTAGCGACGGCCTTGTCGCAACCAGTGCTGGTGGAGCACTTGCTAAGCGACCACTCGTCACCGTTCTTGGTGAGCTCACTGTCAAGGCGGCGGCGACGCCTGGCAGCCATCTCCGTTGTGGTCACGAAGCAGTCGAGCGCCCACGTGGCAGTGAGGTCTGGGTCGTTGCCGACCCAGTCGGGCGCCATGTTGCTCTTGGCGAATGTGAAGCGGTGACTGGCATTGTGTCGATCATATCTCACCTGCTGCCGAGCCGTGCGCTCCGCCTCAGACACGATGCCCCTCAAGCCCGAGGGACCGTTGTAACCGCCTCCTCCGAGGGAGTGGAGGAGGCGGCCCCGGGCCTTCTTGATCGTGGGCGGCAGCTCCTCCTTGACGACGAGGCAGTAGTGGCGTGGCAGTGATCACGGCGCCTCAATGCAGCCGTACCGGCTACGTGCCGGGGACGCAGGCTCCTCCTTTATCCCGGCGCCCGATCTTGACGCTGCTGTGGTGCGGGGGTGAGGCCGGCTCCTCCTTCTCACGACGTCCGATCT